ATCTTCACCTTTCGAAGATCGAGGTGAGACGAACGGGTGAACTGAACCGAGACACCCAGAGACACCCCAACACGTTGGCGACGTAAAAGAAACACGAAGAAACACATTTTTTCGTTGTCTATTTTCTAAACAGAAACAAGTAAGTTCTCTTGCAAGAATGCTCATCTGTCTGGCAGGTATGTGATTTTGTTACGGCGAAGAGTAATAGACCTTCTCTAGCTGTTATACCTGCCAACTCAGCCCAGCTTTAAACGAGTTCAAGTACGGTGCAAAGCTGAGAGACGCGCTGAAACTGGGTAATGCGACCAACTGAGTTGTGGGCTGTCTGCATCGAATGCAGAAATGCAGTCAAACGCAGTCTCAACAATAGCTTTGCCAATGTGCTGATGCAAATCCCTGGTGTTGTGGGTATCATTTCTTTTGTTTGGCAAATGTGCCGCGTGCACCGATGTTCAAAACAACAAAAATGCTCTGCGAGATGTTCTATAAAGCATCGAAGTTTACACTGCACTGTGGGGTGCAGTGGGGTGCAGCGAAAAGAAAACCACTATCGTATGTAAGCACATGCTGTTTCACCATTTTCACACGTCTTCACTTATTTCAGACGTCTTTTTCTTGTTCACTTCCTTCAATTGAAGAAGTGAATGCCCTCATCCGCCTGGACGAAAAAATGACGGTCGAATCGAGGAGTGAAAAGACCATCGTCTCCTGGCCTGATTCAAATCGTTCAACTGCCTGAAACACTTGGATCCGAAGAGCATCCTCAAAGAACACGGGAAAACACCGAAATCGAGAACAAACAACACAAGAAAGAGAAAAGGCAACAAGACAGGTATGTGAAAAAAGAACACAAAGAACAACAAGGACTTTCAATACATGAAAGACCTCCCTGGCTTTGAGCAGGCCTGATGAACAAAATGCAAAGACCACCACCTCAAGAAGGTTGACACACATCAAACACAAATGGTTTACACAGAACTTCAACACATATCCTGGATTCAGAAAGCACGTTTCCAACAACACAGTGTGCTTTATCATGCTTTATCTATCCACATGACAAATAGAACATCACATTCAACTATTTAAGTTTTCCTAAGCATTGAACCAAATCATCAGTGCGAACTAGGAGCTACCTAGTCTGCTACTAGCGTGTTTACTCTCCCTTACCTAATAAAGTAAGCGCCTAATTAAGGAGGGGCCGGCTAAAAGGAACCGACACGAAACTCTCACATGTCCGAGCCGCAAATGACCCAGAAGCTCACCATATCGCGGACAAAAAGTCGATTGCGAGGCCTCGTCGATTTGTCCACTTAGTCTTTTGGACAAGTTGAAGTTATACACCAAACGCTCTGCTCCATCTCGAAACTGTAAATTGAAGAGCGACATAGGTGTGTGTTCTTTTCTTCTTAAAGTGCTGGCCTCTGTCGTATATACAGCAGAACGATTCATTTCTTTTCTTCTTTCCTTTTCTTTGGTTTTCTTCGTTCTTTTATTCAACCGTTTCTCTTCACGTGTTCCTTTATTCCACTTGTTTCTTGTTTCTCTTTTGACTGAGACTGCTCTTGGGTTTTGGCAAGAGACGAGATATGTGGGGCCGAAAGGGGCGCTCTGCTCACTTTCGACAAAGCCAGCGGTGCAGCGCTATGGTAGCCAAGTGGCCCTTTGCTCACCATCGCTGTCGTGCCCCTTTAGCAGAAAGAGATTTTGACGCACAAAATGAACAATTTTAGAAACATGATTTATAGAAAAAAAAGTGTTCAAAAGCTTCGCAAAGCAAAATGCAGGGAACGTGATCAAGAGGTGTCAAGTTTCCCTACAAGTCTAGAAACCAAATTAGAAGCGTGAGATATCCTGCGTCCATGCGTAGTAGCGTCCTGTAGCTACTACCCACCTAGCTTCTACTGGCTACCTAGCTACCTCCCTCTACGGCCTCCCCCCGGTCTTTTAAAGGGTTCTTCAATGTCCATGTCGCCCGCTTTTGAGTGACAGCTTCCCTACTTCTACTACCTCTACCATCCTCCACCTCTATACCCTCGTAAAAAGAAACACAAACGCAAGGACAATGGTGAGGGGATGGGAGAAACAAAAAAGACTGAACCAAAAGACTTCGATTTACATTCGATGTTTTTGTGAATGGAGCAGGTTCGTTGGTTTCAGCACTGAGAAGCGGACGAGTATGAGATGGGAAAAATGAAGAACATGTCCGTGTTGCGACAAAGATAGCTAAAGGTTGCAATGGGAAAAGTGCGAAGAGAGATACAAGATTGCAAGAATGAACAAAACACGTCGTGAGAAAAGTGTTTTTTAATCACAAACATGAAGCTACTAGGGGCTCCTGGCATCGCTACTAGGAGCATTCTTACTACTAGTAACAGAAGCTACCAGAACATGAACAAAAGTGTTTCTTGTTGGAAACACCGGAGTATGTCCCATGCGAACTCGTCGAGTGCCGGCGTTTCGACTTGTCTGATCTAAATGTGAGGGTTCGGTTTGATCGAAGAGAGAATTAACAACTAGCGATGGCCTCCCTAGGAAAAAGACTGCACATCGAACAAGAACGCTACTAGCGGCTCCTGGCCTTAGACAAACGCTTTCACTTTGGACCCGGACCCAAATAGGCCACAATCGATGCTGTCGAAGATGTTGCCCGGAAACGTCCAACACTGCCGTTTGTTGTGAAAGCCGAAAACTGCGGGCGAAGATGTTCTGAAGATGCCAAAAAAAACGTGACTTGTGACTCGCGACTTCCCAAAAACCCCTAGCTGAGCTAGCTACAGCTTTTACGTTGTGGACCAAGCGTTCAGCAAACCTCTTCGAACTTAGGATCGGATTCTTTGGTGGCTAGTAAGGCACTTGTTACTAGTAGCGATGCGCTTGTTACTAACAGCTTCTTGTTACTACTAGTAAGGCACTTGTTACTACTAGCGTGGCACTTGTTTCTAGAAGCTTCTTGTTCCTAGTAGTAAGGCACTTGTTACTAGTAGCGATGCACTTGTTACTACTCGTGGACTGAAAAATCCATGAAGTCGACCCAAAACCGGGCAACGCCCAATGTTTTTCTAAAAGTTATCTTTTGGCGCCACGGTCTGAGTGAACCCGCGCACGTTGGATCACCTCAAAATGAAAATGCGCCGAAACTTTTGCGCACATCATCAGCGGCTCCCCAACCTTTTGGTGTGGGCGGTGTTCGTCGGAGCTCAACATTGAAAAATTATGGATGTTGTCTTTTCAAGTGAGGCCTGAACTGCCGGAGCAATGTCATGATCCAAGTGCAGCAAAGGGATTTGACGAAGGTACCCATGCTTGCCAATAGCCTGTTGCACCAAGGTGTATGACATCTAGTACGCAATACCCGGCTATGCGACGTGTCCCCTTGCTCTCCTCCAGCGAACTTCACTCGCCTGGGTGAAACGGAATGCTCAAACAACTCCAGCGAAATGGGAAACAACAAAAAACAACAACATAGGAATACGAAAAAACACCAGAAGGAGAAAAACAATAACGCATTTTATATGTCGGAAAAATAACAAATGGCAACAGCACTGCCAACAACACATACATTGACAGTCGCCCCAACAGTTTCTAAGCCTTGAAGTTGTCGCAGGCGAACGCTTTGGCGAACACAGCTAGCTCACCCCGCTTGAGGAAAACCGGAGCCGCAGCATGACACGCAGTGCCACACGCAAGCATAGTCAATGTGAATGACACCTCCCCCAAGTTTTCAGGGCAAGCCACATTGACAATGTGCTCACAAGGAACAGCACGTCTTTTTCCAGTGTCTCAGCCAGTTGCTGTCAACCTTTCTCCTGACAAAGTCACTATGGACATGACAATTTCATTATATTTCATTTTTGTGTCGGCTTTGCAGTCTACTTTTGTTTCCGTTATATGTTTCTTTATCCACTTAGGTGAAGTGTCTCAATGCGCAATTTCCATTGCAGCCCGGACCTTCTGGAGTGAGACCTGCAGCGGAATTCCGAGCAAGCCTTAATGGTGAGAAACCATGCAGCACTCGAAAACCATGTGTTTTGCAGCCGGATGCAGCCGGCTAATACGGTGCCCTTGCGCCTACCGTATCATTCATGCTTGGGTGGGAGGGGGTAGTGGGAGAGTGAGAGTGAGTGAGTGTGTGAGGGAGTGCGAGTGTGAGTGAGAGTGAGTGTGAGTGGGAGTGAGTGTGGATGAGAACGAGTGTTAGTGAGAGTGAGTGAGTGTGAGTGTGAATGCGAGTGTGAGCGAGAGTGGGAGAGTGAGTGTGAGTGCGAGTGTGAGTAAGAGTCGTGAGAGTGAGTGTGGGTGAGAGTGAGAGTGTGGGAGAATGAGAATCTGCGAGCACAAAGTAATGCGCCTGCAAATCTGCACTTCGAGGTTCACCAAGTGCTGTGCCTTCCACGAAATCTGCACTTCGAGGATCACAGAGTGCTGCGCCTGCCACAAAATCTGCACTTCGAGGTTCACCAAGTGCTGCAACTGCCACGAAATCTGCACTTCGAGGTTCACAAAGTGCTGTGCCTGCCTGCCACGAAATCTGCACTTCGAGGTTCACCAAGTGCTGCACCTGCCACGAAATCTGCACTTCGAGGTTCACAAAGTGCTGCGCCTGCCACGAAATCTGCGCATCGAGGATCACAGTGCGCTGCGCCTGCCACGAAATCTGCAAACGAGCCACATATCCCAAAGTCACGATTCACTGCACCTGTCACGAAATCTGAGCTCCTTGACGATCACCACCATGTCCAAAGTGCTGCGCCTGCCACAAAAACTGCATTTCGAAGTCAAACACCTCCGATCCCTTGCACCTGTCACGAAAAGTCGACCAAAACACGAGGTTTCCCTAGCTCCTGCCACGAAAAGTGATCACCATGTGCGAAAACGCGCACGGCGCCACAACGAGAGCGCAGTCGCGACAAGCGCCCGCCACGGGCCCCCAGATTCTGCGAGCCTGCGCAGTCGAAATGCACATTGACGATGTCGAGAGGCATGAATGTACTGTAAATAGCAACGAATTAGCCGGACACGCCCGCGACGCACAGCGATCTAAGCACACCTTCCTTTCCCCTACCGTAAGAACCCCTCAGTGTGCCCACACTGTTTGGGGAAAAACATGTATACATACACAAGAGTGACTAGTACGTGTACACTGTCTCTGCACTTAGATTCACAATGTTAATGACACCGCAATCAGTTTTCAAGTGGTTGGATTTCAGATTCAGATCACGAAACGCGACCCACCTAGCGGACAAGGCCCTGGACAAGGCCTCGACAAGGCAGGACAGGAACCACAACCCAGCTAGCCTCAGTGCGAGCCAATTACTTTTTCTCAAGAAGGAACACCAAAACACTTGAGCCATGTGCGCAAAAATGTTCTTATGTTTGATTCAGTTGATTCTAGATTATTCATTGCTTTGGGGGGGAACAGGCATGGATAGGTACAATAGGAGTTGTGAGTCCGCAACCATGCTGGGCCGTCGTCTTCTGCCCATATGCCCTTGGAGTGTGATGAACAACAAGGGCACGTCTTGAATTAAAGTTTAACAACATGAAAGGAACACATGTTGTGGATAACGCGTGAAGAAAGGGAAACACACCAAAGAAACATAGACCTAAACTTTGAACAAAAACACCACCCATCCATTCTTCTTTCGTCACGTCTTAGAGCTCCACGGCTCTTCCGTTGCAACTCACATCTCCAAGCGAAACAAGTGCTCCACAATGTCCTCTACTAGGAACAAAGGGCATCGCTACTAGGAGCAAGGACGCTACTAGGGGCTCCTGGCCTTGCCGCTAGGAACAAGAAGCTACTAGGAACAAATTCTTTGCTTTGCTCTGCAAGTGCTCTTCTGCATTCCACATACCAAAGCAGCTATCGAACTCACATCCCCGCCCTTCCCATTCGAGGCTCATGGAGAAAATGACCGCTGTGCGGTACATGAAATAATTGGTACCGTTGGTACTGGGCTTTCTTCTCAAGTCCAAACGAACAACTGGCATGTTTCTTTGGGAACCGCCCCCAGAAAATTCAATGAATCTCCGGAAATTGACATTGTAATTCCTTTGATTGAGCTTTCTGCCGGCAGTAGGGACACTGCAACACTTCCCGGCTTGAACGTGGTGGTGAATAGCTTCTCCATACACAATCGCCGCATTAGCAACTTCGATGCCGAGTCTTGCAGAGTTCCGCACTTTTCGCATTTCACCACGCAGGTCTGGTTTTCTTGCAGAGGGTCTGGGTTTGTTCCCAAACTGGACCAGTGCTGGTAGGTGCCCGTGCGCGCCCACCCGCATAGCATCATCGTTCACTCCGCCTGTTTTCATAATGTGTGTTGAAATCAAGACGACATAGAAGAAAACTGAGGACGCTGAACTCGGAATGCCTTTCAGGTTGGTCCTGGGCAAAGAATTCTTCGCTTCAAATCCTTGCGTTGCTCCAACTTCTCTATAGATATTGCATTTTGCAGGTTCGTTTCAAGTTCTTGCATTCTTTTGCATTCCTCCGGGTTTGACCAATCTCTCTTCCCCGCATGCACCTCATTTCAAAACATACATTTTTGGGCACGGCTAATTTTTTGCCAACAAAACCCAACAATCACAACATGTTTTTTTGTGCTTCTCTCAAAGCTGCCAACTTTGCAGCTACAGAGCTTCTTGGATGAGGCACCAAAGGCACAAACAATGGCAAAGGATGCTAGGTATAAAACTCTTGGAAGAGCGCAGCCTCCAGGTCCAGAATCTGGTGAGTATGGATGCTGATTTTGCTTGCTAGAGCATAGCTCGCGCTGGAGCGGTTTAAATATATACTTGCACCTTGATATGCTAGCTGAATTTTAACCACATTCTTGAGTAAAAGAGAAACTGGAAAAACCTTTTAAAGAAAAGTGCTAAAAGAACAAACAAACATGTTGACAAAAATTGCCATTGGGAAACACACATACGTGCAACAGTATGTTGGCCTGCGGCAGCTGTCCTGTCTTTGAATGAGTCGTTTTGTGCATGTCTCTTCTGTGTCCGCTCACTAGCAACAGAACGAACTCTTTGTGCCACGTTGGCTTCGGTTCTGCCACCTGCGACAGCATTTCATGGACCCTTGTGCATTTCCGCGTTGAAACTGAACGTGCTGCGCTCATTGTAGACTGCACGAGCACTCAACAAGGTCCACAACTCTCTGTCTCTTCCACGGCCCACAGCTCTCTTCCTTCCTTCACACAAATTCCCGTCACGAGCCGATCTCACTGCGTTCAAGCCGCTCCGCGTAATCAAGTTGCCGAAGCCGTCTCCACATTTCAAACGGCTGAATTGTCCGATTTGCGAAGTCGTTTGCAGCAGGGACGGAAGACGTGAGTCCGGCAGACAACCGCAAACTGCCGTTTGAACTTTGACTCGGCATCCAAACGGAGAACGTCTGAGATGTCTAGAGCGCGAAGCGCAAAGCTACATTGCGCGGTGCCGCTGGGGTTGGGGGCTTGGGAGTTCAGTGGCGGCCAGAAGAAACTCCACATACAGGCGACTGAAAACATTACTCTACTTCGAGTAATCCCCACCTTGAGATGCGATTTGGAAAAGGCACGGCACATGTATTGACAGACTGGCCTGACAAATGCAGCCTGGCAAATATCTGCCATCAAGTTTGGTATCTAGTCTGACACATCATCGACCATAAAGGCGGGGAAATGCTCTGGGCTGTGTTCTGTCGTCCTTGTTGGCATATGTTCTGACATTTTTCCTGCCGCGAAGTCTGACATGTGCTGTAACACATGGTCCGACTTCAGGCCTGATATTATGTGTTTTGCCATGTATGTCAAAATTTGTTCTGACATCAAAGAAAGTCAACCTTGCATATGTATATCCTGGCATACATATCTGGAATATATATTCTAGCATGAGGGGTGAGTGATGTGGAAGTTCATGAAGTGAGGATAGGGGGCCGCCGGCCGCGCTGCCGAAATCAAGCTCATTTAAGGCTGTGACTTTGGCGCGTCATATTGTAAAGCTAAGCTACATTCTGAATTTTTATTTAGCATATATGCTGGAAGTGTTTGGCATAAATGTTGGCATCCTAACTAGCATACATGCTGGCATTCTATCTGGCATGTGTGCTGGGATCTGGTTTGAGCCGGATTCGGAAACAAATCGGTCGGATTCGGCAACTGGGGCTCTGAAACTGGCATTCTCAAGCTGGAGAGTCAAATTCTGCAACCGCTGCTACTGAGATTCCCACCCACCAGTAGCTTACGCTTGCTGTCGCTTGGATGCTTCGGTCCTGAGGTTGCTGCTCTTATATGGATGTGGCCTGGTTTGCCACCTGTCCACCCCACCCCACCCCACCCCAGTTTTTCTTGGATGCTTGGGGCCTGTGGTTGCTGCTCAAACTGTTGCAGAATCCTGACAGTTGCGGAATCCGAGCGCGGGATTCCAACTGCGGAATCCTAGTTGTGAATCGGACTTTCTCCACTGGGATCTGGCACTTGCAGTTTAGATCAGTGCTCAGTGTGATCTAGCACCATAAAAAAACGGAAGGCGGAAAAGGAGGCGGGATGGGACAGCTCTGACAAAATCTAACAACCCTCATCTGGCAGGTGGGGAACAATAGAACAGGGGAATCTCTGCTCGCGCAATGTGTTTTCGTGTTACATTTGGTTTCCTTTACATTTGTATTCGTGCTCACAGTTTCTTCACAGTTTCTGTGTTCTGCTCCTCTCCTCCAGGGCCCTCAAGAAAAGCTGTAGTTTCATCTGGAAGGTCGAGGCCAAGTGATCCAATGACGCCCGACATTCCGCCAACGAACGAGCAAAGGGCCGACCTCGCACCGCCTCGGATTCGAATGCCACGAAGAGTCTGAAAAGGTTGTAGATTCCTTTGCTAATTCTATTTAAGCTTAATTCTTCTCGTTTCTAATAGCTTCTTGTTCCTAGTAGCGATGCCAGGAGCCCCTAGTAGCGTCCGATCGCTCCTAGCCTGAAAAACTGCTTCAACAGACTCTTCCTCTTCCACTGCTGCCACTTCGAAGCAAGAAGCGCATGCCTCGCAAAAGGCAAAGAAAGGCGAGGCGTGTGCACTTCACTTACCTGAAGCATTAACTAGTAGCACTAGGAACAAGTGCATCGCTACTAGTAACAAGTGCCTTACTAGTAGTAACAAGAAGCTAGTAGAAACAAGTGCATCGCTACTAGTAACAAGTGCCTTACTAGTAGTAACAAGAAGAATTTAATTAGAATGCCTCGCGATTTAAATCGTTCCTGAAGCACCGCCTCCGGTCCTTGCGCCACTACGGCTTGATTCTGGCGTATGGCGTATGTCCGTGAATTTCCATGTTTACAATGCTGTACTGCAGAGTGTAAAACTATGTATGTCTGTAGCAAGGAACCCAGCACAAGTCGGAGATACTTTGACTATTGCTTTTGACAATTTCCACAAACAGAACAGCATGAAACAGGTGATGAAGCGCACAACATGAATCGGGGCTCCCAAGAGCAAGGGATTCCTTGACAGGTGAAGTGTTCCTTTTGTTGCAAAGGTGTTACGTGGACAGGCTGTGCGTCTATTTTTGAACACATCCGCCTAGACAATCTGTATTATGGACATATCAATGCATTTTAGGTTGGAGGCCATCGCTATTGGCTGGAGGCCATCGCTAGTAGGTGGAGGCCATCGCTATTAGGTGTAGTAGGTGGGCTATCGGTATTGGTCGGTACTGAATCATGTCGCATTCTCGGCATCGCGCATTGTGCTTCAGCGGTTTGCGTGCACTGAAAGTTCGATGAGTTTCACAAAACTTCTCGATCACCCAAAGTGTTTGGTGCTCTGGCCTGCTCTTGCAAGGTGCAAAATTCGAGCACCAAACTTAGCAGAGCGCTGACCCCAGACAGAATGGCCTAGTGACATAATGTGACGTTGCGAAAAGCGGACTCTCAGCAAGGTGCGCTTTGACGACATAACGCTTATTCGATTTCTTTCTTTTTCCATGATTTTTTGCTTTGATGTTTTTGTGCAGCCCTTTCTTTCATTCAGCCTCGCTCCCTTTGGCCAAGAAGGCTCCTTCTTCCACAGCGGCCAGGTAGCGTTCATGCTGGGAGATGACCTGCTCCGGGCAGTTTCCAAACCGCAAGCGAAACAACATCATGTATGTTCTTCGTATATTTTTTGCTACAATGGAGGCCGCGCTTCTGTCTCTTTCCGCTTCTTCTGCTTCCTGCCTCATCCAAATCGCTGCTTTTTTGCCATCCCTGTTGCAGCTTGGCCCAAGAAGTATCCAAGACCTCCAGCCGCTTTGCGCAAACGTCAAATGAAAAACATAAAGCGAATCATCGGCGCTAGTCATTCTTTTGAATTTAACTAGGATAGTGGTACTCTGGAAAGCCCGTGTGCTTGTTAGCGCGCTGTCTTAGAGATTAGCGCTTCGGTCGGTGGGTTGGCATTGCCATCTGCGGAAAACACGCGCCCATGCCCGTAAGTTCCTGCATAGGGACCAGGATTTTCTGTCCAAAGTGCGTAGACTGCAGTTGTTGGAAAGCTGCACTGCAACCCACCACGACGTTATGGTCTGAAACTTCTCAGTATAAGGAATCTAGACATGGCGAAACTATCCGAAGTGGAACCACGATGGAACATGGGATTTGGAACCAGAAGCAAAGGCGACAAGAAGGAAGATCAGCATGCGGTTCTCTACGACAAAGGCAAGAAGATCAACATGAAGGAAGAAAACAGAGCTTCTGGTTCGCAGTCCTCATATGGATCTGGTCATGGGTAGGGGAAGCTTCGTTGAAGGAAGACAACAAGAAGCTGAAGCAAGCCATTCAGAGTGTCTTGGAGAAGGATGTTGATAAAGAAGAAACGAGGTGAAGCTATACTAGTAATAACAAGAAGCTATTAGAAACAAGTGCATCGCTACTAGTAACAAGGGCCTAGTATTAACAAGAAGCTACTAGAAACAATAATTAATACTAGAGAAGCTAGTAGTAACAAGTGCCACGCTAGTAGTAGCAGGTGCCTTACTAGTAGTAACAAGAAGCTATTAGAAACAATAATTAATACTAGAAACGAGGTGAAGATGCACTTGGTGGATCCTCGAGGAGAACGGAACGAGGAACGGCGATGATTGAAGGCCCAGCCTCGAAGGCCTCAAGATACGAGGAACGGCTTCGACGAGAGCCATGAGAGGAAGCTTCTAATAGCTTCTTGTTACTACTAGTAAGGCACTTGTCAAGTGGCTGGCGCACTCAAAGCGTTTTCGCCATCGCTCGTGACTCAAGGCGCCTAAGGTCGTAGGCGAATGGGCATTCGGGCCCAAAGGGATTCCGGATCAGGATGCATCAGGTGTGGGCCAAGCGAACCATGGATTGGGTTTGTCATCCTTCGGGGGATCACTCCACACCTGGTGCCTCCTTCACCAAACAGTAAGCGGCCTCCTTCATGGCCTTTCTCAAAAGTGTGCTGTTGCCGAGACGCTTCGTCAAGGCATCTGCAAGCATCTGTGGTCCTGGGACCCAAAAGGTCTTCGTGCGAAGCTGCTTTGCAGAAATGCAAATCACTGCAACATCGATTTGCGCACGGCGGCATTGGCCGGCGTTCCCGGAGCGGCGACTCAGGAGGTCGTAGAGGGCCTTTGCGTCGGTGACGTGCGCTCCGGTGGCCTGGTCAGTGATCCTCACTGAAGCCACACTCTCATCCTCATGCTCCGGCAAGCGAAGCACCATGGCGGACTCAGCATCTCCCAGCCTGGTGCCGTCAAGCACTGAGGTGCTGGGATCCATGACTTCGTGCCAAAGTGCGCGAACCCACTCAACCTCTGCCAGGGCGTCGTCCATGGCCAAGGCCTCCGACCCGAGGGTCGCTTTGATCACTCGCTTGAGCTTGTGCGAGCGCCAACTGTTCAAGCTGAAGTCAGCCTTCTTGCCGTCGAGGATGCTGCGGTGAGCTAAAGCAAGCAGGAATCCACCTTGGCTCTTGTTTTCAACATTGGCCATTGATGCATCTGCTATTGTCATCCAGATGCTCTCCTCAGGTGCAATGGGAAGCACCCGGATGTAGACATCCATGGTGGACTTGAGCTCGCTGACAGTTTTGTTGGCCATCAAAATATGCTCCACCGTAGGACCAGTGGATGGCCAGGACATGCTCATCGCACATGCAGCTCCGACATCTGGTCGTCCTTCTTTGCCGACCCACAGCAAGCTCCCTCCAACTCCTCGCAACCAGGAGATCTCCTTCTCATCCAGGAGAGCTTCTTTCTGGCGCATGCGGTCCTTGCTCAGAGCAACCGGTCGAAGCTTCTCCTCGATGTACCGCTTCATGCTCACCTGGATTTCATGGTTGGGAAGCTGCTTCAAAGTCCTGCCGATGTACTCAGCAGAGGAGCCATGCACGTCCTTCCATTTTCCAAACTTCAGTTTGGTCCGCAGCTCTGCCATCAAAGAGTGATGCCGTTCATTGCCTCCTTGACAAAAATCATCAACATCTAAGAGCACCACGCCTGCAACAAACATCTTCTTTTCTCCAAGCTCTTCGGGCGTGGGCTTCAGGAAGTAGAGGCATGGATCAAACACACTCTCCTCATAGCCGAGGGACAAGAGCAAGCGGCGGATCGTGCGCCTCCAAACAGCTGGTGCATTCACCAGTCCATACACTGCTGTCAGGACTCTAATGAGGCTGTCCTGCTCATAGCCAGGTATGCCGGTGGGTGGCATTGAAGCAAACAAGGGTCCCTGCTCTCGTTCCACAGGGTCGCTCTGACCAAAAGCTGAACTTACGTCCATGATGAAGAGGTTGTAGCGCAAGGAAGCTAGGATCTGGAGCGTCAGCATCACGGTGGTGCTGGAAGGTGTTGGTGCAAAACGTTCAAGCTGAAGGCTATCGGGATCTCGGTGTCCCAAAAGGATCCATCTGGCCTTTGCCTTCCAATCTTCTCCCACTTCTCCAGCTTTCTTCGTGATGATGAATCTGCTGGGCATGATTCTGTGGGAGTATTTTTCACGCACCCATTTGATCTGCTCCTTGGAGGTGATCATCTCGATGGCATTGGAGCCGAGCAGGTTATCAATCTCTTTTGTCTTCGCCTGTGCAAAGAGTTTGCGCTCGACTTCACTGAGGCGCTTCTCATTCAGCTCTTTGCCACTTTGCTTGGTGAGGTAGGAGAGGGAAGACTCTGCTTGCAGGAAGTGGTTGTAGTAGCAATCGCTCTTGACCACTTTGTGGAAGACCTGCAAGTCACGGCTGTTGGCTACCACCGGAAAAGATCTGCGGTCGCCCCATTCAGAAACATCATCTGCTCGCCAGGCTCCAAAGATTCTTGAGCGGTTGACCACTCGATCATCTGGCGCTGGCTTGTCCAAGCTCCTCTTCATGGATTCCACCAGTCGTGCATCTTCCTCTGGAGCCTTCTGTCGGTCAGGTTCTTCTTGAGGGCCTTCGATGGGTTCTTTGAAGGGCTTACCTGGGTCAGGATGACCTGGAAGAACTCTGTAGACCAAAATGGTCTCTATGCTCCGGACTCCTTCAGGAAGCTTTTCGTGAGCCTTGTGCACTGACATCTCGGGTGTAATCGGGATGTCCTGGATCACCTTATTGGTGTCGATGTCAATGGTGACTCTTCGAGTGACATCGTGCCAGAGTGGACCTTTGCTGTTGGATCCTCTGTACCTCTTGGCATCAAGGTCATGGCGGACCCACATTTTCAGCTCTGGCTGTGCACTGTCGGGCTCATCGACTCTTTCTTCTTGTCGTGCACGCTGGTTCTCAACTGAGGCTTTCCACAACTCATCTGCTTCATTCATTGCTGGTGCGGCTGCTGGTCGTTCTGTGGCTGCCGAATGCTCTGCCGCTGCCGGTGCTGAGGCTGTTGCTTGCGTTGGTTCATCTGTTGGTGAGTCTGTGAGGTCGATCGGTGCTTGTGCGGGCCGAGGCGATCGTGTGCGGTCTCGCCTCCCGCTTGTATCTGCCGGTGGTGGTGTTTCAGCACGGGTTCGTGCTGGAGCTTGTGCCGGTGTGCCTGGAGCCGGTGTCATAGGAGCCGGTGTGGAAGGATTGGGTGTCCTCAATCCTTCGGGGGGTCCTCGAGGTGTTCCTGGAACCTTCCGGTAGACGGTGTGCTTGTCCAGTGGTGCTGCTCTTGCTGGCTCTGCTCGCGCTGCTTTGGCTGGTGGTTCAACTAGTTGTGGTTCATCTTCATCCAAATCTTCAGGCGGATCGCCTTCTTTGGTGACATCCACATAGCCAAGCTTCTCTGGGTCATAGCGAAGTCTTTCTTTCGCTTTCAGCAAGTCAGCAGCCACGGCTTCGATCCCTTGCTTCTCCATGTTCCCCATCTCAAAAATCTGGGATCGATTGCACTTCCAAAGTTCTTATAACCCAGACTGTGTCACCTTTCTGTAGGATCACAAAGCATGGTCCCACCTTTGCCGTCGTGCCTCTTCTACCTTGCCTCCAAACTGAGACAGGATCGCCCTCTCTGAAGACATGACCTTCTCGAGCTTTACGAGGCGGGCACGGATGGCGCGGCTCAAGCGCTCCTTTGAATCCACCTCCATCAAAGCCTGTCGAGCGGCTTTCCGAATTTCCTCCGCCCGATTCCATGCTCCATCGGCTGTCATGCTGTACTCGAACTCCCGGGCGTCGCTCAACAGGTCCATGCCCAAACTGGGCTGCTTGCCAAAGACACGTTGTGCCGGGGAGTAGCCAGACCTGTTGGTCAAAGTTTGCAAAGCCCATGCAACTTCATGCACCATGTTCTTGACCTCATCGATCGTGGAAGGCTGCTTGAGCTCTCGGGTGCGGTAGTACACCTCTTTGAACAAGCCTCCACGTCGTTCAGTGACTCCATTTTGATATGGTGCGTCACGGTCAATGATGATGGGCTGGATGCCGTGGGATTCGAGCTGTTCGATGAAGTGGCCTTGGAATTCAAGCCCCTGATCCATCAGCAGAAATGCCGGTGCACCAAAGACGCGCAGCCACTTATCCAGGAAAGCATTCCAAACCAACTCAGAGCCTCTGCGGTTGGGATCAACCATGCTGAACGTGGAATACAGCGTTCCCAGGCAAGTGACATTCAGGATCGGGTGCTCGGTGGTGTGACTGATGCCATGCACAAACAGCAAATCGATGCCAACACAGACATTGAAATCATATGTTCTTGGAGTGGCTGCTGGCAATCTTGTGGGCTGACGTTTCTCCAGTCGGCAACCATCACACGAGAACTCCTTGAGGACATACTGGATCACGTCGGTTCTGGCGCCTGCAGCTTTGAGCAACCTCACAAATT